GGGGGGGTTGAGCGAAGAGTTTGTGAAAAGGGACGGGGGTTGGGGGACTTACGAAGACTTACGAAAATGCTCGAAAGGAGTGACTGACAAATACATGGATAAGAAATAAACGATTTCATTGACAGCTTCTGACCAAGAAAGAGGCTTTTGCCAAGAAAAGTAACATTCATCAGCCTGAGACATTAAATACTCCAAGTTGGCAAAGAACAAAGAAAGAAAGACTGAGAAACCAAAAGGAAACACAGAAAAAAAACACAAACCCAAAAATAGCCCTGAATCCAAGAAGTCACTTCAGTAAACAACTTTTTTTTAAAAATACAATTCTACGGAGCATTCATTTGAGGCTTCTTAATTTTTTTTGAAAAACTCCAAACAAAAGTCAACAAAGTACAATGTGTATTCATTCGGAAGCAAAGGCGATTCCAGTTGACGAGTAGGTACAATCTCCCCCGCCTACCCCCAGCCCCGAGACACGCTTTGACCACTCCAACTAGTCCTGTACATAACACGACTCTGTGATATCATGGGCCATTCCACCCCCAGAACAGTTTGCAGGCTGCAGGGAAGACTAGCGAGCTCACACGACAAAGTTCACATGAGAAAGTTCACACGAGAAAGTTCACATGAGAAAGTTCACATGAGAAATTTCACATGAGAAAGTTCACATGAGAAAGTTCACATGAGAAAGTTCACATGTGAAAGTTCACATGTGAAAGTTCACATGAGAAAGTTCATTCTTACAACTCAGAATGGATAATATACATGGTCGCTTTTAAGCACAAGGAGGCTATCCCGAAAAATGCTGTTTTAAGAAAATCGAAGGTAAAGTTTCGGCTCCTAATTCAGTTTCTTTCAAAGACGAGGAGAGTTTTCTCTATGACCAAGCATACACACCAATGAAAACCAAACTTCTCCTATAGGTAGGGCAATGCCCAATTTTGGTGTAGGTCAAGATTTCTGGAAACCCCCCGAAATCTGGGTTAGCCCATTTGTCCTTAAAAGCGACCAACACAGAAAGGATAGATCTATACATGTGAGCGCCCTTAAAGCCGACAGTTGCTGTATGTCGCCAAAGAAGTAGGCTACTTTCTCGAGAGACATTTCAAAAAGCACCAATTTTTTGCTGAACGACATAGAAAACCGGAAACCCTATATGTCATTTTGAGGGACTAATTGTAAAAGAAAGAATTAACGTTGGTGAGCCAACGCAGTTATGACAAAAAAAACACTGAACTGTGGATTCACAATACTAGTAACTTTTTAAGTTTTAGAAGTGTTTTTTTTTTTTTCTTTTTAGGCAAATGTGAAAACACGTTTTCTTTTTAGGCAAATTGTGTGAAAACGCTTGCTTTAGAAACAAACTTCACGCAACATAACTGACCAATCATATATCCATGTAACACGTTTCACATGCATTCATTCAGTTTATCTCTTCACCCGCATCAAATAAAGTTGTTGTTGACCTCACTGTTCATTCATTGCATTAATGTTTATCGATCGCATCTGTATTACTAAATCCTGCAGTATTGTTCGTGCTTTCTGTTCACCTGCTCACATTTTCCTCCATCCATCCTGTTCTCCTTTCTTCCCCTTCCTTCCCCGTCTATTTTTCCTCACTCACACATATAGCCTTCCATTCACCCCGTGCCTGCCTCGATCGAAACCTCAGTACAAATAAAATATAAGACAACAATAATGAGATTCAGACATGATCTGAGACTAAAATATGTCCATACATCTAACGTTTTGAATGATCTCACATTTTTCCGTTTCGTTTTCTCTCTCTCTCTCTCTCTCTCTCTCTCTCTCTCTCTCTCTCTCTCTCTCTCTCTCTCTTTCTCTCTGTCCCTCTCTATCTCACTCTATCTATCTATCTATTTATCTATCTATCTATTACACACGCTGTCTTTCTTTCTTTCCTCTCTTCTGTCTCTTTCTTTCTTTCTCTATCTCTCTCTATTACAACACCAGCAAGCTCTGTTACAAACACATGCAACATAAACACACACTCGCACACATACACACACACACACACACACACACACACACACACACACACACACACATACATACACACACATACATACACAAACACACACACACACCCTGATACGTAAGCACACCACCTCACACCTGCGCTTAATTCAACAATTTTATCTCACACATCAAGTACATGTACTGTTAACAATATTTTTTCCCCACATAATCTCTTCTTACTCTCAGCCTCACGACTCTCAATATCACCAGACATCGCAATTGGCACGGAATCCTTATCACTCACTCACTTCACACGTAGATCTGTAGAGATGGGGGAAGAATCGATTCCCGAACCGATTGCCACAATTGATACTAAGGAAGAAGAGTTCCAACTCATTTTTACGTAAACCAGCGGTTACCAATTACTTTAATCAATAAAATCTTCTTCTTTATCTTAGAATTTATTTTTGAAAAAAAATATTTATGCTTCGTAGTGTTCCGAAATCAAGGTTGTCCTAAATCCTGAAGATATTAGGAACCAACTAGGTAACCACCGGACGAAATCACATCATTAGAAAGTAGATAATTGGGTTTGGAGTCGATTCCTACGATTCCTGGTTTTCAATAATCGGGAACCTAGCCACCCAGCACTAATCTAAAGCCTACGGGCCCATTAGAAATACAACTTGGTTCATTCTAAACATCACGTACCCCACACACAAACCGACGCCGAGCAGGGGCTCTCACTATCCACAGCAATTACATGTACACGTTTCAAGCGACACACCCTCCCTTACGTTATTTTTCTACACATACATGTAGTTTTAAATGATCTCATGTGTCTGTCTGTCTGTCTGTCTGTCTGTCTGTCTGTCTGTCTGTCTGTCTGTCTGGTCTCTCTCTCTCTCTCTC